AATACTTAAGAAGCATAAGCTTAGCGACCACTAGAAGAATATTTCCCGAAAAGCTTTGAAAAGTGGCAGCCTGTGGTATACTGTTACTAAAAACAAACACATAGTAGTATGATCACTTAATGATAATTTCCCTGATTATTAAATACTCTTGTAATTCCCACTTACCTGCTTCTTCCACTAAACTCTTGGATTGTTTGTCTTTTTGTAAGATGAAAAGGAGAAATTTAAACGTATTACAATAAAAAAAAAAGAAAAAGATTGATGTCTTTTTGAAATATTTAAAAATAATTAGTAATTTATGTAACTTATATTTTCTATAGAAGCTGATCTTAGCACATTTCAAAGTTTTATTAAAATTCTTAAAGCATACAATATATTCTCGATATTTCAAAATTCTCAACTTAGAAAACTATACCTCGATACCTTATGTCAAAAGAAATATTTTACCCTTGGCAGTATATATCCACATAATGATAATTTGAGTTCTAACGTCGAAGGGTTTCTTCTCAAAACCTTGTTGTGTTGAATTTTTTTTGAAAGAGAAATGAATTTTTTCGAAAAAACCACAATGTAAGTTTATTGTAAACCACTTCTTTTTTATTTAGTGCATAATTTTTTTTGTCTTACGTTTGAAAATAAAATTACTATCGTTTTATTTAGATTTATAGACAACTATCATTACATACTTAATTATTAGTAGCTATTCATCTTTCACTTTACTTTCTTGTGATTTTTCTTTTCAGAGTTCTCATTTTATTCTATTTCATAACCGGCGTTGAACAGCCCACCAAATTTTTGAGTTAAGGACCACTAATGTTCAACTTCATAGCCTTGTAATTTTGAGCCCGATTCAGAAGACAAGGGAATTCCTGGAAAGAGTATCGGCAGAAATTTGCCTTTGTGGATAACTTTTAGAGGAAACTAAGCAGCATTTGCTTTGTATGGAAAGGAAAACCACGAAAACCTCCCCTGATTAGTCTAGTTGCAAGGTGACTCTAACCCATGATCCGTCTACCACTGAGGATATTTTTACGTCAGCACTGTGAGCTGAGTGCAGTATTCTTCTGGATTAGCCATTCAAATTCGAGTCACCTCATTAGAAAGCAAATGCTCTATCCCCTGAGCCATTAGAGTATTAATTATTTATAGCGATTCTTATGCTTCATAACTTTACTTTTTAGAGTTCTATTTTATAATGCATTTTTACACTTTTTAGATCATAGCTCTGAAGTTGTTATCTCGAAAGCTCGACATTTTTTAAGCATTTCTTCCACCTTGAGATATCCAGAGTATATCAATATCAATAATGTGCTTACATATAAATATCTTATGATGTTTTTGATGACTGTTTAGATTTATAAGAAAATATTTTTATCTATGTTTGCAGTAAAATTTTAAAAAAAGATCAAGCACTTTTTATTTGTTAAAGATTAATTGATTGACAGCAGTCTACAAATAGATTGATAGCAATCTACAAATTAATAAGAATAAAACAAAAACCATGAGAATAAATGGAAAATCTAATAATGAAATGAAATAAAATTCTGGAGAAATTGAAGAAACTGGTTTTTTATTAAATTTTGGAGCAATAGTAACTAAACAAGGAGGCAGCAAAGATGATATAAACCAAAGAATCTCAGAAGCTAGAACCTGTTTCAGACGTCTTCAAAAATTTTGGAATTTTTCATAATTCCACAAAAAAAAAAAAATTTTAAATGCTGTGGTTTATTCCATACTTGAGTTTAGGGTTGTTGTTTTGCTGAGTTCTGTTTGGTTGAAAGTTGGAGCCTCCACTAAAGTGAAATAAAAAATCTGGAAAAATTAAAGAACAACTGCTAATGAATAATTTTAAAATTTTCCCATCCATCATGTCTGCTTAGATGATTGTGGTGGGAGTTTTTGATATCAGCTAGCTATGTATAAGCAGCACTAGTTAACTGCAGTTAAAGTGAGTGTAACTTAATCCTTTGAATTATTCAGAAGTAGTGGTATGTAAAAACTCTATGAATCGAATTTATTAAATCAGAAATCATACATTAAGAGACTACCACTCGAAAATATTTATTTATCCGCTGTCCGGAACAAGTTGGCATATCAGTATACATAGCTATAATAAGTCTGAAATTGGGAAACGGGGAACCGTGGTTAGCACGTTCACACCGGGGTTACCCACCGGTGGTACACGCTAGATTTTTAACAAAAACAATAAGAATTTTAATATGTCGTGTAAAAAATATATCATTAATATAATAGAATATGAATAATATTTAATAGTTATGAAGAAACTCACATAAAATATTTTTTTTTATTTTAACGAGTTTTTTAAAATTACCTGTACAAAAACATATAGTTCTCGAATCATTTAACACGTTTATGCCGGGGTGACCCACCGGTGGGTCACGCTAGATTGTCTCATTGGTGCACCGGAGTAAAAACTGGTAACAAATAAATTTCATTTTTGAGTTTTTTTCCGGGAATAATAAAAAACCATAACTACCAATTGTTTTTAACGGATGCAATTTTTATATTGACTTGCTTCTTCGCGGTGATAAAATTCATCTCAATAAATTGGTATTGTTGAGAATAGATTAACTCCTCCCGAAAATTATCTAATATTGAAATAGTTCTTCTACCAGTATTTTCTCTTTTCCGTCCTGCTTTCACGCGCAACACCCGGCGTGTACGTGTTAATGAAATCTCAAATTGATGAAAGGTTTATAATGGACATAAGATCGGTAAAAGACCTATATGCATTAACAACAAGAAGAAAAATCAATCATTTGATCAATCGTATAGAGATTGGCCACAGTTTCGAAAATTTATAGAAAATAGTGGAAAACGAAAAAGGAGACTGAATATTTTTATCAATTCCTACCTATCAAAAATACTTGCTTATAACAAAAAAATATATAAAGATGTAAATATACCTTGGTACCTAAATGTTTAAAAATTTTATACTTTGAATAGGTTTGGTTTAAATCTATACTAAAGTAAATACTCCATGCTAAGAAGACATTAATTAACATAATTATTATTTACTAACAATTATTTAAAATCATTATTATAATTAGTAAAATTAATGGAAGCTTAATTTGCTATGACAATGACAATAAAATGCCGAAAATAAAAACTGTTCCCTATTTTCAAAACATAAGCAATAATAAATAAATAAAATAATTGAATTATAAATTAATTAAACTTTAGTTTTCTCAAAAAGTAAACTGAACTGAAAAAAAAGAAAGAATAGTATTTTTATAAAATGACCATAAAAGATAATTTATTAATTTCACAGAATTACACTTAGAATAAATGAAAATGTATATTAAAATTTTGAATGGTATTTTAACGATACCTACGTTAAAAAAAAAAACTTAAATAATGAAAATAATGTTAGAAAAACACGCAATCTATTTTGTACATCGATATATTATATTTCTTATAAATTCCGAAAGATGGCAGAAGCTGGAATAATGCGCTGAAATAAATTTCTCGTGTTAAAAACGAATAAATAACATATTTTGTTTAGAAGTTTGAGAGTGACACCTAGCGTTTAAAAGTGAAACTAACTTACTATTATTTTTAAACAAACTGTGTCTCCCTAAATTGCAAAGAACAGTAATAATATTAACATATCGTCTGTAAATAGTTCTAATATTTTTTTGATGTTAATCACCACCAAATAATGCTCATATCTAAAGAAAATATAAAAAACCGCGATATAAGTAAGCAGCATAGAGGTGCTTATCGGGAAGGGGAGTGAAAAATACATTTTGGAGCATAAACATACATAGTTTTAAAAAAATAATAAGAATTTTAATATGTTGTGTAAAAAAAAATGTCATTAATGTAACAGAATATGAATAATATTTAATAGTTATAAAAAAACTAACAATTTTTTTTATTATTTAACGAGTTTTTTAAAATTACCTCTACAAAAAATATATAGTTCTTTAATCATTTAAGTGAATAATTTAAAAATTATGGAGCAAAGCAAAATTAAAATGCAACATAAACTTAGATGCCAAAACCTTTATCTCTTGTTCTCGCTGAACTATTCCACTACTTATTTAAACTCTGACTCCTTTTTTCAGGGTAAATTGAGTATTAAAACAAAACTATCCCTTTGAGGGCAGGAAAATTCAAACAAAATTTTTTATGAAGAAGAACCTTAAGAATTATTAGTTATCGTATGAGCATCCAATAATAACGGAACACACTTGCTCTATAATGTCCAAATGCAGTATGGAAAGCTGATGAGTGGGGAAATTATTAAATGATCGTTGAAATGATAGGATCTGAACACACTTGCTCCATAATGTCCGAATGCAGAATTTGGACATTATAGAGCAAGGAGGATATTGTATTGAGGATATTACTACCTATTGAGGATATTTTACGACAGTACTGTGATCGGTGCGAGCCTGGTGCAGAATTCGTATCTGCCAGCTATCGGTAGGATTCAAACTCGTTTCACCTCATTGGAAGGCGAACGCTCTATCACCTGAGCCACCATGGCTCCCCCCAGTGGTATTGATTTGCCATGGATTTGGAGGACCCCGACTGATTTAGCGTGTACCAGTTAGCATTTTGTACACGAGGAACCTTCGTCCGGCCGAAATTGAACTCTCGACATCTCGGACATAGGCCCAAAGCCCTATAAGCCCGACTCTCCCGGCCTCTTTCAGGGTTAGCATCAGTGGAATGAGGAAGAATAAGTGGTTCCCCATCCCCATTTACTCTTTGAATTTAACTTTTTGTCAAAGAATTCAGAATAGTATACACCAAATTCATTTTCTGGAAATGGAAATACATCAGCAGTAAAAAGCAATAAGTGTAATCTTACTAACTGATTTCTTGATTTACCTCCGTTCGTACTAGAGCGTTCTAAAGTAAGTCAAGACATACCTTATTTTCCCCTTGAAACTATAAAAATTGGCGATTTAATCCAGTTGTTAACAATTGACATATGCTTTTGCTACTAAACTACTAAACTAAATAACCACTTTCAAAATAAGATTTAATCAAATAACATAAAATAAAACATGTTTTAAACTGTAATGGTTTAACAACCTTAAAAGTCTATCACATTTACTTGAGCTTATTAAGATATAAAATCAATCAATAATAAACAAGATGAAAAATTTGAAAATTTATGTTTTGATGATTCCGTACTGGTTTATATTTGAGATAAAACTTTCTTGACTGTAAAAATACGAGGCAAATTCTTTGTTGTTAAATGGTCCCATTGTTCCTCCAAGCTCTTCTGGCAAAAGTTCTTTAGGCACGAATTCGTGCAGGCTTTCCAATTTACTTCCATGAAAATGAACCTACAAATTTCAAATGATAAGTAAATTGTGAAATAAACAATGCATTTTTCAAAAAATTAATAATAAAATGCATCATGTTGCTTAGAACATCCACTATTATTTGATAGAAAAATGTATTATTATCACCACCAAGTTCAATTTTCAATAATTTTTTTAATTAATACTTTCTATTGTTCTGCACTAATTTTATTATAAATAATTTTTTAAGTAAATTTTGTAGTTCTAAAATAAATCTTGTTTTCTACATTATGGCTTTGCTTTCTCAGCTATTTTTTTCCCCAAAAATATTAAAAAGTAATACCAATTTAAAAAGTTATACCGTATTAAAAGTTATATTTCGCCTTATCCGAAACCTGCCAACTGCATGGTGTAATTGAAAACGCGAATCAGCTGATCCTTTTTCAGTTATCTACAGGCCAATCCTTATGCTCCTTTGCAAACTGGAGACGTTTACTCTTGCTTAGGCTGACAGCAGAAGCTATCCCATAGGCACCCAATATCTCCAATACGACGTAATGTATGGTGCACAGCTCGTTCAGAGACGTTCACGGTTGCAACTTCATTAAAATTCCCCTCCATTTAGCCTACTGTTGCTCTTTTGCTGAACTGGACAACTCTGGTAAGTCTTCCCTTCAGTTTGAGTATTCAGTAGCCTGCAACGTCCACAAGACTGACGTTGAGACCCGGTTTTTGGTAGTCCACTCTCTGTACACTTCAGTAATTGCTACCCTCGTACACTTCACAAGATCAGCCATTTTGCTGATTTTGGTTCAGACACTTCGAGCACCTGCCATCATCCCGCGTTCAAACTGAGTTAAGTCATGTTTTTTGCCCATATCTCCGCGCGTAACACAGTGCAAATGATGGTTCACTTGCCTTGCATTCCCTTTTTGCAACTATCTTGCCCTCTATCGGACTGTGGCGCAATAGCTCATTTTGCATAAAACAGTCAGGTGGTCATAATTTGGCCANCAATATATATATATATATATGCTACTTGCTTATTCGTTCCCTATTCTAGAAGCACAAGCATGAAACCTAAAATTGTAACATATATACAAGTAATATGAATTGTAAAAAAATTCCATTCCAGAAATATTCCATTTGACTACACTAGCCCGATATCAGCACTAGCCTTCCACTTCTACAATGTATACGTAGAATTTAGCATATCTTCTAATTGCATTGAAAATTTTCTTTAACAAAAACAAAAGAGACAAAACGGACAGAAGACAGAAGTGAAATTTACGCATTTAGTTCAGCTATTTTACATGCATGATATAATTAACTTAATGCTTTTAAAAGTGTAATTAAAAAGCTGTAATTTTTTTTTGAAATAAAAAGAAAAAAATTTAATAACGATGAAAACAGAAACAGAACAAAACAAGAAATAAAGCAAAAACAGAGACTTCACACTTTCTGGGGACAATTAAATCCTAATAAATTCTGAAACTTGGAATTGGATCAAATAGAATATTGCTTAAAAAAATTTAATTTATAAAAAAAAGAGTAAAAAATACCATTAAGAAAAGAGACTTTAAAGCTGAACTTTGATACAAAAAAAATGTTTAAATTCTGGTAACCACGAGAATTATTCAGTTTTTCAATAATGAAACTATTATTTTCTTCAAAAATAAATATTTTAGTATAACTTTCTTTAAAAGCAAATAAATTCTAAGAAGCACCATAGAAGGATTATTTCGTAAGTAAATTAATTTTCTATTCTATAAGAGATACGTTACAATGCATGCCTTTAGCGCTCTCAAACTTTTATCAACAAATAAAAATGTAAGAAACCCATCTCTGCGAATTATAACATTCTAAAAGATACAAAATCTCTGTAGAGTTGCATAAAATTAGAAAAAAAAGATTACCTAACATAGATTGAAGTCCATTTAGTTATTATAACAAATAGAAACGAAGAATTAAATTTTTTCCCTTTCTCACGCTTTCTAGAACAAACATATTAAATAGTGGATAAACATAGTAGGTAGTGGATAAAAATTTAAAATAGTGGATGATTAAAATATTCATTTAACAAAACAGGATCTAAAGGCCAGCGTATAAATAGATCACATACCTGCCACCTCTTTTGGATTTTCCGGAAGATTTTATTTTCATATTTAAAGTGGTAGTAAGTATATACTATTTTTTTCTTTTATGAACTTAATTTTTAGATGATTTTGATCACCACTGTTCTTACAAACATTAAGCTTATATATTAATATGCGTTACTATCATGGTTGTTAACTTAAGTTTTCTCAAATACAACGTATTTGTTTTCTTAAAATTGAAGTTTTAATTCCATTTTAATACCACTGGGAAAAATGATAATGGAAGGGATTAAAAGTTGGCAGGTATGAGATCAGAATTAAATTTTGTACAAAGGTATTATGTATTCACTCAAGCATACTATTATAAATAATTATCATATTTCACGGTTCAGTTTTGAGCGACGGAATTTCTAATTTCTTATTTGACAACACCTATTTCTTATAATGATAACACGATGTTCGTAATAAATAATTTATATCATAGAGGTCTCTTGTCTACTTTTCATTTGTCGTCATAGCGTTTTCCGTAGTGTTAAATGCAAAAACAGCGAACGAAAATTATCTATCTCTGATTAGCTTCACCATTTTCTTTGCTCTAAAAGCATTGTTTGAAATTCAAAGTTTCTTACTGTAAGAAACATATTAGGATTATTCATTCATCATAGAAAGTTGCTGCCATTTGAAAACTTAGAAATTTTTTCACTTTACCATAACCACAAGAACTTGATAATCCATTATAAATTATAGCCTCCCCACGGTTTTTTGTAGGTAGTCCGTTCAGACCACTCTAAAGCTCCTAGTCCTAGTGTTTAGATTTTACTGGGCACCTGGGCCGCGAAGCGGCCCCTGTCCCATTCATCTGGAATTTTTGAACAGTTTTGGTTGAGCAATGAGGTAAGCAGGCAATGAAGTTGCTTTTACTCTAAAGGTAACCAATTAAGAAATAACCATTTAATATGAAATCTATTAGAAAGTGGTAGCAAATATATGTCTAAAAATTTTTTTTATTTAAGAATATAATTGGCTTGTTTTATTTACTTGTCAACCACTACAGATTCAATTCTCAAATATATATGATAAATTTCTCTCAAGTACTTTTAAAATAGAATTTGGGTTTATGTGCACAAGTGGTTCGCTTTTTAAATAATCTGCGCAGACTACTTTTAAGAAATCGTGTGGAGGCTTTCTAATGTATGATGTGATGTTATAGCCCTATTCTTCTATTCTTGAGTGCACTTCTTATACATTAATACCAAATTATATACCCTTCTCAAAAACAGTATGCTCGGTGGGGTTCAGAATAAGTTATTTCCTAATCTCCCACGATTGCATTAATATATATATATNTTTTAATCTTCATTTTGAACTTATATATATATATATATATATATATATACAGAGAGAGAGAGATAACTGTGGAATAAAGATTTTTCTTACTCTTTGTAAGAGTTTCTTTTTGACAAATGGTTTTACTAAGTGATATATAGCTGTTAACGCAGCAGGTTGGTTTACGAAATGGATTCCTTTTACTCGATCCGGCCAACAGTCCTGAAAAATTAAATACGAGTTAATTAAGAGAACATGATGCTTAAATTATTTACATAAACTATTCTTCAAGCAAATTCTGAACCGATTTAAATAGAAACAACACGTGGATAAAATAAAATATGTAAGAACAATTTTTATCTGAATGACTGTTTTAGTTATATGGTATTATATCATATCGCCTTACTACTACTAAGCTTGTTTGAAAACGTGAGCAGAAAACCACAATATAATTTACTCTGAATTTTGAGAGCACAAGCATTATTATTACTATTTACTCTCCAAGATTCCTCCGCACGTCTGAATTAATTTTTAGAAGAGTTGGTTAGTTTATGAACTGCTTGGTCGATTAAGAATTCTTCCAAATGAGAAGTTCGTGACTTCTTTCAGTAATATTCTAGAGTAAGGCACAAAATAATGGAAACACTTCAATACTAACTCCATGTAAACAATATTTCTTTTAGCAGCAAATATTTTGAAAGTTCTTACATGGCAAAACTGTTGATACAATATTAAAGATCATGATTGTAACTTACAGAAATGTTGTTATTTTTACCCCTGCCCATGCAAAATTCGTTGTAGTTTCCAATGCCACTTACCAATACGAGCAAGCTCGCCTAGTGTAACCAAGCGAATTTAAGGAAGAGGGTGCGTTTCTTGTTTTATAGTGGCGCCTTCTATTTCCAAGAATACGTCTTCAGCCCCCCACACATCACGGCATATCTTACAGGGCGGTCCCATTCATACATCCATTCATTTATCCACAGATCATTATTTTTGGCCAGAACCAGATAACGATCAATCTCCGTTTCAGGACCCTCAAGGGTATTGATTTGTGATGGGAACTTGGAGTACTTTGCAACCCAACAGGTGACGCATGCATCAGTCACCATTTACTACGAGGGGAATATTCAACAGGCGGGGATCCAACAACTACCTCTTGTTGGTCATGGGTCTAACGCCCTACCCTCCTGGCTATCCCGGCATCAGCAAAATCTAAATCTATCAAATTGAGATGAGGGGTCAATAACTTTTTGTAACTCTAGAATCAACAATTTTGAAATATCATTAAAATATGGTATTATGTAAATAAGAATGCTTGCTTACTTGCAGTGAAATGGAAATCAGTGTTTAATTTTCTACATTCATTTCAACGATCAATTTTTTATGGATAGAAATGACACAATTTCCAAAATCATCAAGCATAATTTTTCAAATTTTAAAATATTTCAAAAAATTTGATGATTAGAGGAGGATTATTACACAGAGTATAGAAGTATTTCTCCAATTTTGTCCAACCCTAGTGAAAATTCCTAACTTGTATGTTTAACATTTGGTCGAGATTAATAAAATCTTAGTAAAAATAAAAATACCAATGTATGGAGATATAGTGAAATGTAAAATTTCTCTCGTACAATTTTAAACATAGTTGTCTAATTAATAGAACTTATATGTAAGTTTGAATTATTGGATTAAAAGCAAAATACCCGTTAACCCAATTAAAAATCAGTAAGTCAGTTGCAAGCAACACTACAAAATCATCCACAAAACTGATCGACATAACTTTACTTTATTTAAAAACAACTGGGCACCTGGGCCGCGCAGCGTCCCCTATCCCATTCATCATGAAATTACAACAATGAGTTAAAAACATCTTGAATATAAGCAGTCGTTGTGGTAGATTTACAATAATATTACCATGATTAGAGAAAATACAAACTTGAACAGAGATATTTACAGTAATTGCCATGAAAATATGTACAGAAAATATAACGGTGATTTGAAAAACTGATAGACACAAACCGACACAATAATTCCATTATTTTAAAAATTTATTATCACAACTGGTATTATTTTTTGTCCATGCTTCACGTTATTAGGCATACCCTCCAACTGCTACGGAATTTCCGTAGTTTCAGAAATCTTATTTTCTGACCGTAGCAAAATTAATGTCTTAATATTTAAAAAAAATTAATTTTAGCGTAACTTGTCCACTATTACTTATAAAAGTGCAGGCCATATGGCTAGATTCTTAAGTTCTGATAAAAGTTTTATGAGAGATCCATTTGCTTTAAAAATTTCTACTTTGGTTCGCTACCACTAGAAAGAATTATTTTCAAAATCCTCATAAGTTGGAGGGTATGTTAATAGGTATAGCAAAGCACGTTTTAGCAGTTATCTAATCAAAATAAAGATAAATTATATTTTATACGCAATTCAATACCAACTCATATTTGAAAAAATTTCCACGATCAAGCTCTTTTAATTTGAGACTTATCCCTTTCAAGGGGCCTTAAAAAACCCCTTTACATAATATCTATATTAAAACTGTCTAACATTGATGCAGTTTAAATATGTACCAAATATTCTGATTGTACATATATTAGTATATTTGGTACTTATTAAAACTAAACTAGTTACTATAATATTATAACCAGAACGTGGAGTTCGTGTTCGTGAGAACGGGAGTTCGAACCCCGTCGACCGAAGAAACCCCCTGTATTAAATGGTGACAGGTGCACGTCAAAACGGTTTGGGTCACAAAGTCCTCCGATTTCCTATAATAAATCAATACCTCTGGGGGAACTGAATTGGAGATTGATCGTTCTTAAGCTCAGGTCAAAATTACGATCTATGGATGAATGAATGGATGTATGAATGAGTTCGTCCTGTAAAACGGGCTGTGACGTGAGTGTAGCTGAAATCGTATTCTTGGCGATAGATGACACACCAAAAGACAAAAAACGTACCCTGTTCCTTAAATTCACTTAGATTTCCTAAGCAGGCTTGCTGGTATTGGAAAATGGCATTTAAAACAACAACACTGTTACCAAATTAATTCAAAACAATTTGTTATCATATTAAACATATAAATAAAATAATTAGAGTTAAGTTATGTAATATTAGAGCTAAGAAAGACCTGATTAGAATTAAATTATTGGCTCTAATTAGATTAGAGCTGACCTGATAAGTGGGTTTTCTCCAATCTGGAAAATGTTTTAAGTTTAATAAATCTAGATACATTAAGCTACCAATAGATTTTTTCTTTAAAGGAAATAAACATGATCGCAAAAAAATTAAACTATTATATAACTCTCAAAAGTAAAAATTTTTCGGCTCTCTTGAAAAACCTTGTTTTTTTTTCGAGTCATTAATTTTTTCTCCAGGTCGTAGAAACCTTGTATAATGGCATGGGGAAAAATACGCCTTTTTTTTATATCCTTTTCTGAAAGTTTAAGATTTTGAGAAGTTAACTTTAAAAAAAAAATATGTCTTGTTAGTTACGTTTTATTTATTAGATATTCCTTTCTAAGTTTATGTAATACTTATCTGTCAGCTTTCAGACATTTTGCGTAAAATTTAATTTTTTTGCTTAAAGTGGTAGTAAATTTTGGGCTTTTTATATATATCTTGAATTTATAANTATTAAACATATAAATAAAATAATTAGAGTTAAGTTATGTAATATTAGAGCTAAGAGAGACCTGATTAGAATTAAATTATTGGCTCTAATTAGATTAGAGCAGACCTGATAAATGGGTTTCCCCAATCTGGAAAATGTTTTAAGTTTAATAAATCTAGATATATTAAGCTACCAATAGACTTTTTCTTTAAAGGAAATAAACATGATTGCAAAAAAATTAAACTATTATATAACTCTCAAAAGTAAACATTTTTCGACTCTCTTGAAAACCTTGTTTTTTCCAACTCATTAATTTTTTCTCCAGGTCGTAGAAACCTTGTATAATGACATGGGGGAAAATACGCCTTTTTTTTTATCCTTTTCTGAAAGTTTAAGATTTTGAGAAGTTAACTTTAAAAAAAATATGGCTTATTAGTTACGTTTTATTTTGTAAATATTCCTTTCTAAGTTTATTTAATACTTATCTGTCAGCTTTCAGACATTTTGCTTAAAATTTAATTTTTTTGCTTAAAGTGGTAGTAAATTTTGGGCTTTTTATATATATCTTGAATTTATAAATTTGAAAAATAATGGTTTTGACCAGCACTGCATATAAATATACATTAAATACACTGCATATAAATATATAGATATACATATTATACAAAGAGTGTCCCGTATATGTTGCGACGAACTTCTAGGGGAAGTAGGACATGTCATAAGGATTAAGAATTACCTAGGAAACCATTTCCTATTATCAACATGTTGTTCGTGTGCCTTTTATTTTTAAATTGCACTTCAATTTTTCTAAAATATTTAAATTTCATGTTAATTTTATAATACTATTATTTTACTTTATTACCCTTGTTAAACAACTGACGCAATTATGAGTTTACGACTACTATACGTTAATATTACAGGGTTCCCGCGGTCCTTGAAAAATTTAAGAAGTGGTAGCAAATTTAGGGTGGAGCTACAATATACTTATTTATTTTAATATACTTTTTTATCGTAAAGTGCTGAAATTTTCGTGCATATATATATTTTTTAGAAAAAAACTTTTAGTGGTGGCTACACAGAAATAAAAATGTCAAAATTTCTTTTATTTTTATTACCACTTTTTAAAATTCTCAAGGACCGTGGGAACCCTGTATTAGTTATTGTCGAGAGTTCCATTAAAATAGACTCAGAAATGCTGTTTTATCGTTTATCATAATTTAACAATTTGGCGAGCTTATCCAGTTAATCGCCAAATAGTTAAATTATGATAAAACAGCTAATTCTGTACCTATTTGAAGGCAGTTTTGACAATAATCAATAGAAAACAAAAAATTAAGGTTAGTAAAAATACCTGTAGTTCAAAGAGACACGATGTAACAGTACATAATAGGATAGCGCCCTTAGCGCCGCACGATAACATGGTGTCCTAGGTAATTCTTAATCCTTTTGATGAACCCTACTTCCCCTAGAAGTTTGTTGAAATATGTATAATTATATACGGGATAACCTGTATATAATTTTGGATATAAAAACATGGTATACAAGGTGGTATATGGTGCTCTTAAGGTCTTAGATAATAAAAAATATATTTCTTTACATGACAGTAAATCAATTTTAATATTTCTACTATCTGGGTAAAACATCATCCAAAAGGTAAAAAGTTGGCATAAATGGTAATGGTTAACTCTTACCTGAAAGGTGTTGATGGTAAATTTTACAAAGGAAAGATTTAAGAACATTGCATAATGTTGAAGAGATATGTTTAAAAAATCTATGATGAGGATCCCTCCACAAATCTGCGTTGCTTCACATTCGAATATAAGTTCGCCGCAGATCAGGACAGTTGCCACAAGATCTTCCAGCTTTACTACATTTGTATCGAGCTTCCCTGAAAAATAACACTGCCGTTAAGTAAGGTGTTCCGAAATCACTTGTCATATACTTATATAAATTTGTGCCAGAATGCATGCCTTAACCCATTTGGAACCTGATTTATTTTAATACCAGTCTAGGAGGAGACAGTCCCGCAGTGGACTGATCGTAAAGACACGGTTCCCAGTAGAACACCGAAGTCAAGCATCGCTGGCTGCTGTCAGTATGCGGGTGGGTGACCACTTTGATCAGCCTACGTAGAGACCGAGAGTGCGCGATATCGGTTCTCGTTAAACTGTTCTACCGTAAAGCATTTGACTCTGCACGCAGGTCATCGGACTACCAAAGCAGGGGAGCCATCCCCTCTGCACAGGATTAAAATTTGTCTTGTTTTCGGATCATCCTCAGGGATGTTTCCCAGGCCGTCGCCGATAGCCCATTGTACAACTCTAGTGTGACGTTAATAAAGTACCTACCTACCGAAGAGGAGACAGCCAAATTAAAAACTGATAGTAAATTTTTAATTTACGATCATTGTTTTTTCTTATTCCACAAGTAAGAAAAAGTCTAAGAGAAAACAGCCGAATTTAAAACTGATAGTACGTTTTTAATTTGATTGTTTTTTCTTATTCCACCAGTAAAAAAACAGCAGTCTAAGAGGAAACAGCCAAATTAAAAACTGACAGTAAGTTATTTATTTAAGATGATTGTTTTTTCTTATTCCACCTTAAGAAAATACCACCAAGTGGAAACGAGGAAACAGCCACATTAAAAACTGATAGTAAGTTTTTATTTGAAGATTAGTGTTTTGTTTTTTCTTATTCAGTCAGCAAAACAAATTTCATACAAAAATAATTACCAGACTACAAATTTGAAGGGTCAAGTAGGAAGAACGGCAAATCAGAAATCACGAGTTCAAAAGACTACTAGGAGAGGAAGAAAAAATGTGATTCAGAAGGATTAAGTTTTTATGCTTTGGAAAAAAATATGTTTTTTTTTTTCATTCTTTTCTGGCATGTTTATTGTTCCGGGATAGCCTGGCTAGTAGAACGTTTGTCCCATGTCCGAGAAGTCGCGAGTTTGATACCCGCAGACCGAAGACTCTCCGTGTACAAAATGGTAATTGCTACAAGCTAAATTTGTCTGTGTCACAAAGTCCTCCAAGTTCCCATAACAAATCAATACCTCTGGGGATACTGGATCGGAGATTAATCGTGCTCTGGTTCAGATCTAAATGCGACCTGCGGATGGATGGATGGTGTGTGAATATGCCCTCCTTGTAAAACGGGATATGACGTATGTGTGCTGTCTCCGGATCATCCTCAGAGATGCTTCCCAGACCGACGCCAATAGCCCATTGTGAAGCTCTAGTGCTACGTCAATGAATATTCCTTCCTACCTGGCTTGTTTATTTCTTAATTTTAAAGTGTTTTTCAAATATTTAAAATTAAATTGCATTTCAATTGTGTTGTTTTAGCGATTTTTCTTACCTTCATTATGCAAGTGTTTCTCGTTGGATATTAGAAGTATGTTTGTTCATATAAGACTGGTTAAGAATAGGTTTATTTGTAAGAGTATGGAGAGAGTATAGCTGTATAGAGTATATTAGGTTATGGAGAATATACTCTCGTTGATTATGTACAAGTTAGACTTGAACTATTTAATTTTCTAGATTAATAAAGTTTTTTGTTAATTCAAAGATGAATCTTCCACTTAGCATTTTCCACTGCGAACCAATATATTTCCAGTAAAATAAACGCTAATTTCATATTGCACAGTTTCCATGTTTAACACGTTTACGCCGGGGTGACCCACCGGTCGGTCACGCAAGATTGTCTCTTCTTGGCAGCGCACCGGAGTAAAAACTGGTAACAATACATTTCATTTTTTAGTTTTTTTTTCGACAATAACAAAAATCCGTAACTACCAATTGTTTTCAACGGATGCAATTTTTAAATTGTATTGCTTCTTCGCCGTGATAAATTTCCTAACAGTGAATTGTTATTGTAGAGAATAGATAAACTCCTCCCGAATATTATCTAATATTGAAATAGTTCTTCTACCAGTATTTCCACTTTCCCCGGCGTGAACGTGTTAAATAGGTAGAATAAAAGCAGGATATAGGGGTATCTTTTTTTCAACATTTATTTAAGAACTTTAACGGAATTACCGCTACAATTATTTACAGAAGAACTCTTGTCAATCAACAAAGAGTATTTCATGAACAGTTTCACAGATCAAATAATTTTCTGGTTTTCAAGTGTTTCTGTTAAAACCGCAACAGGGAAATCACATTAACTTAGTTCCTAATGATTTCTACTTATACTTGAGATGTCTCTAGAATTAATTGATATTCAATGTGAATGATTATTATGAAGCATTTTAAGTACTTGATTAAGTACAAGTTTTTTAAGTACTTGAACTGAAGTGTCCTTCAAACACAGAAACTTCAATGATATTTTCAAGTTCGTGTTGTTAGTTCAAGATTTATTCCTTTAAGTTTTTTGTTTTGAAATGCACTTACTGTTTTAGTTTGCAAGAAATATCGTTTTTGAAAATATTTCATCATTGCATGGCTTTTGAAATTGAAGTAAGATTTAAAAATAGCCCTTTTTTTCATTTTTAAATAAACTGCTAGCATTATTCGTACGTAGTAAAAGATTTTGCATGTTCACCATACTTGAAGAGTTACTCCTATTTTCTTAACTTAGTTAAACAAGGGAAATTGAGTAGGTTCTTTCAAAATTATTATATTTTATAACCATCATTGAACAGCAGACCCAATATTGGGTTTATGACAACTAATGTTAAACTCCGTAGCCTTGAAATTTTGAACAAAATTCAGAAGACAAGGGAACTCCTAAATAAAGTATTGGGTGAAATTTGCATTCGAACAGGACTTTTTGAGGGAAATAACCCGCATTTGCGCTACATGGAGAGGAAAACCACGGAAAATTCACACAGTTAGCAAGGGGACTCTAATCCATGATCAGTCAACCACTGAGGATATTTTACGTCAGAACTGTGGTCGGAGCGAGGCGGGTGCGGAATTCGTATCGACCAGCTATCTCTGGGAATAGATCCAGGTTTACCTCATTGGAAGGCGAACGGTATCTCTGAGACGTCGGCTCTTTCAAAATTATTCTTTAGGTTGGTTATTTGTTTCTGTTTCGTATGACAACAGGGCCGTAAATGGCCTCAGGTATCTATATAAATTTTGATGGTGAAGAGAATATCCACAACGAGCGTTAAAGTACTTACTTTACTTTATTTACAAAAATTGGGCACCTAGGCCACTTAGCGGTCCCTATCCCATACATCTAGAAATTTACAGAAAATCTATAGTAGTAACATTTTGAATTCAGCAGTCGATGTGGTAGCTGATAGAAAAACAAGCACTTTGTAAATATGACATTTGAATATCTGATTCATCGAATCTAGGTTGACATATATAAGTATAAACATAATTTGACATATATATACATAAGTTGACATAAATAAATATTAACATAAATTGATACATATTTCACTAATTAAATTTCTACATTTTAACCAGCACATATTTAATAATGACATACATTGAAGTTCATTCGAATACATTGTGGTAGCCATTAAAAAAATCAAGCCGTTTGCTTGTGACATAATGAAACAATTAAAAAATTTTATATGACAAATTGTCGTTTTTACTCAACGCTAGAAATATTGATTGTAGACTTAAATTAAAAATAAAGATAAAACATGATTTGATATGTATAGTAATTGATTTTTGAAAAATGAAAGGCATAATTGATGAGGAACGTTAAGGAAATGCTTTAGTAAACTTTTCCATTTAAAATATTGTTTTCCTTTGTGGTAGTAAAATTTATTTCACTGTTTATTTTTTTTTATAATGGCCTCTGTTCGCCAGTAAAAAATATATTGATGTAAATAAGTTATAAAAAATGAACCTTATCGTGCAAAATTGAAAGAAGAAAGTTCTTTCGCTCTTTTTGTTTATGTAGTTACTTTATGCGATTTTTTCCAAATTAAATATTCGATGAATATATAGCGCTTCATAGTTACCTGCTGTCCATATTTCTTATAAACTAATTTTATCCTAATATCGTTTCTCCTGTTTTCGCTTTATTCATAGTCAAGACGGAGCTGTGATGACTCAGTGGTTAAGGCACTGAACTGTCATAGTGAAAAACTGTGGTTCGATTCCCAGTGGCGGCTTTAATCGCACACAATTTCATATCAGTGAGACTAGCTTGCCTAGGAAGTAAAGGCGATCTGTGTGAAATGTTGATTGGAAAATTTTGAAGCTATAATCTCCATGATTCCCCTGGTCCATAATGGGAATCAAAGGAATCAAAGCTTAACCCTGTCCCGCCCTCCCCCGTAAGGGGGCATCCGGAGAATACTGTACGGATCTAAGTGCGTGTACGTGACGGGATGTGGCATGAATGTATACCATGATCCTTTTAAATTTGAGCATAAATACAAATTTTCCTGACCCTGTTTATTAGAGCAACTATGCACTTTCGCACTGGAACTTTTCGCACTGAATAGAAGTTTCCCTTAGACAAACACAGACATAATGATACCAAAGTGCTGTAGTGACCTTTTTCGCCCCTGAGATTTAGTTTACAGCATCATTTTTACCAAATTGATTAAATTACGAAAATGGCATTGTGTTGCCATTTGCCGTTGTCATACTATTGAACTCTGCATGCAACTCAATCGAATATTTTTTTTAAATACTAAAATTTCGGAAGTCCCTGTGGTCATAAAATTTTTTGTTTCCAAAGTGATTACAAATTTTCCATCAAACGTTTTGGGGACTATACTTAAAATTAATTTCCATTCTTTGCCATATAGAACTAGGCAGACATGGTTATGATAATTGTCACTTTTCATACAAGCATTCCAAATTAAAATCCTGGCTATAGCAGGTTGACTTATGTAGTGTTTCTGGCGATATGCTAAAACTCCAAAATATTCATGATTGTCCTCAGATCCTCAGTAACATTAAGAGTCAGAATGCTCCACTAGCACCGTGCTAATTAAGAAATATATTTATATTCATTTCAAGATTAGCTCAAGTTCCCTACTAACGCGAGTTTTTTCAACTATATACTCGCAAATTCTAGAGTGAAAATTACAACAACAAATAAAGTTGTTATTCTAAATTATTTTTATCCGAGATATTTTTTCTCCTCATCTCTCTATCCACCTACAATCAGCGTTGACAAAAATTTAATACCAAATTAAAACTGCAAGTAAAATTAAAGATTTTTTTAAAAAAAGAGGAGAGAATCATTCTCATTAAGAAAAATGAAATCAGGCCATAAAATTGGATTGAAGCTTCCAAAAAGCCTCCACAAAACTTTCTTTCAATTTTCATTTCATTGACACAGTTGATAGTTGAGAGAGTGACAACCACTGACATCAACGAAAAAAGTGAAAGACAACCATTTAATGAGTCATGACCTCTTTCATTAAAAACGTGTAATCAGTGAACTTTTCATGAATAAAAACTACCGGATGGGGTAATCAGGAAATAAATGTCACTTGATGATTACATATATATCCGGATTTAACAAAATAATTTAAGAAATGGTAAAGAAACTATAAGCTAAAACTTTCAGATATTCCATTAATTTTGATAGAATTTTAAAAGGTTAACCTTGGCGTAATTAAAACAAAGTGGCATTTCATATAATCCTTTAAATTAATTAGAAGTAGTGGTGACTGAAAACCCTATAATAATTCTAGTTTACTAAACCAAGACTCAAACAGTAAAACATAGGAATTAGAAATTATTTATTGGCGCAGTCCGGAGAGCAAGTAGTTGGCATATATATATATTTAAAT